TCTAGTTAGCCATGGTTGAACCACTTTTCCGGTGGTATTTTTATTTTTCAAGGAAATATGTGATCACTGGGACTTATGTACTATATCTTTAAACGTTTGCCATTGCTGGTCTACTGTCATATTTTTAAATCTAATTTCCCAGTCTATATTAGCCAAATCCTCCCTCATACCTGCAAAGTTGGCTCTATTTAAATTTAAGAGCCTTGCTTCGGACTTAACTATATCGCTCTCTAACTTAATGTTAAATTCCATCATGTTATGGTCACTCTGCCCTCGAGGAGCCTTAACTTCCAGATTGCTGATTAGCCCTATTTCATTACACAAAACAAGATCTAGGATAGCCTGTTCCCTGGTTGGTTCCTCAGCAAACTGATCTAGGATACTATCTTTAATGCATTCCATAAAATCCTCCTCTAACTTACTTTTGCCAATTTGGTTTTCCCACTCTATATGAAGATTAAAATCACCCACTATTAGTGTATTTCCTCTGCTACATGCTCCTCTACTTTCCTGGTTAATACTCTGCGCAATAATGTGACTGCTGTTCGGGGTCTATAAACTACTCCCACTAGCGTTTTCTGCCCCTTGTTATTTTGTAATTCCACCCATACTGACTCTACATCCTGATTTTCTGATTTAAAATCCTTCCTCTCTACTGTTTCTATCCCATCCTTTATTAGCAGGGCTACTCCCAACCCTTCCCCCCGCCCCCCCATCTCGTTTTCCACATTGCCTATCTTTCCACACAGAGCCTAATCATAATCCCTCCAAAACAAACAATAATAAATTGGTCATTTTCAATCCACGACTGTTCGTGGGACATTGCTGTGCGCAATTGGCTGCCGCGTTCGCCCACAAATATACAGTCAATTCACTTTACAGTATATTCTGTGAAAACGCTTTGGGACGTCTAGAAGACGTGAAAAGTGCTATATCAAATGCAAGGATTATTATTATATTATTATTATTTCCTATATGACAAACACCCAGGAATATTTAGCTCCCACCCTCGATCTCCCTGTAACCACGTCTCAGTAATGGCTACTAGTTCATACCCGTTTGTTTCTGTTTGTGCCATTAATTCGGCTATCTTATTAGGAATGCTTCATGCATTAATATCAAAAATATAGCGCTCAGTCACCTCCGCCCTCCCAACCGCCATCTCCTCCCCATCTCTTCCTCACAATCCGGCCCCTACCCATCCATCCCTCCCTCCCTCCACATCTTTGAACCTGTCTCCCCCTCCTCTATCACCACCAATATAACCTGAATGAAACTCACCAGCTGCTCCCTCGACCCTATCCCTACCCCTCTCCTTACCTCCCAGCTCCACCTCCTTGCTCCTCCACTCCCTATCCACTGGAACCATTCCCACCCCTTTAAAAATGGCCATCATGACCTCTATCCTCAAAAAACTTTCCCTGGACCCATCCTTGCTCTCAAATTATCGCCCCCATTTCCAACCTCCCTTTGCAATCCAAGGTCCTAGAACAAGCTGTTGCTTCAGCTTCACTCCTTCCTCTCCCGCCACTCCCTTCATGAACCCCTCCGATCGGGTTTCTGTGCGGCCCACAGCACAGAAACAGCCCTGGTCAAAGTGACAAATGACATTCTGTCCATCTGTGACCAGGGCTCCCTTTGCTCCTCATCCTCCTTGACCTCTCTGCTGTCTTTGATACCGTTGACCACTGTATCCTCATCCACCACCTGTCCTCCCACCTCAACCTTCATGGTTCTGTCCTTGACTGGTTCAGATCTCTCACACCGCCTCCATTTTGTCTCCAGGAATGGCTTCTCCTCTAGCCCCCGCACCTTCTCGTGCGGTGTTCCTCAGGGCTCTGTCCTTGGTCCCCTCTTCTTCAACATCTATATGCTCCTTCTTGGTGACCTTATCTGCAGACATGGGGTCAACTCCCACATGTATGTGGATGACACCTAACTCTAACTCTCTGCCTCCACCCTTGACTCCAGGACCCATCGCTGTGCTGACAAAATGTCTGTCTGTCAGACCTGGATGAGAGCTAATTTTGCACAGTTGAACATCAACAAGACCGAGGCTCTCCTGATTAGCCCCAGTCAGTGCCTCCACACCTCAGGCACTGGCGGCATCACCATCCAGGGAGGCACAATCCACTTCACTGAGTCAGTCTGGAACCTTGGTGTCTTGTTTGACCCTCAACTGTCCTTTCTACCCCACATCCATGCCATGACCCACTCTGCCTTCCCCCACATCCACAACATTGTCCAGCTCCACTGGCTCCCCATCCCTCCCTGCATGTCGGCCTTCCCAACTCCGACCTGCTAACCGCTTATCAACCTTTCCACTCTCTCCACTCAGCAGGCTGTGGCCTGCTCTACATCCCCAGCCCGGCCCCACATCGGCGGTCTAGCCTTTAGCCTTTCTGCCCCCACCCTTTGGAACTCCATCCCACATTCCCTTTGGTTTGTTTCCTCCCTTGCCTCCTTCGGGGCATGTCTCAACACTCTTCTCTTTGGCCACCCTCCTACCCTCCCTGCCCTCCACCCTCCTTTATCCAACACCCTCCCCACCCTTTCGCGCCCAAATCCCTGACTGTCCAAAGCCTTGAGGCGTCCTCCAGACACGAAAGGTGTTGTACAAGTACAATTTTATATTTGTACCACATTATGAACCCAATGAGCGTATAACAACAACACCAATTTGCAATTATATTGCACACTACACATGGGATATTGTCTTGGAGTGGTCAACAGTGGCTGAGCTGAGCCTCCAGGGAAGCCCAGTTGTGTTTCTCCTTATCTCTGGTTTTATCTCAGTGATATATTATAGGCGTTGACACCAGTTACTAAAAATAGTATTTTTTTTTGTTATATCTTTATCATAGGACATCGCAAGCTAAAAATGTTGACCTTTTTCGGGTGGATATTTCCAACATTTTGATTTGTGTCAGAACACACTGTTTGTATTTATTAATAATCCTTGTATTTGGAACTTGGAATCGCATAGTCTAAGATGACCAGTGCAGTGCTGGGGGTGCGTTGCATTGTCAAAGGTGCCATCCTTCAGATGAGACATTAAACTGAGGTCCCATCCTGTTCTAGTGGATGTTAAAGATCCCGTGACGCTATTCGAGAAGACAAGGGAGCTTCTCCTGGTGTCCTAACCAACAATCCCCCAAATAAAATTGGTCACACGGCTGTTTGTGGGACATTGTTTTATGCAACTGGCTGCCACATTTCACCAACAAAATACACAGTCAATCCACTTCACAGTACATCCTGGGAAGCGCTTTGAGACCGCTCAACGATGTGATAAGGTGTTATATCGCATGCAAGATTTTATTTGATAAAGCACCTGTGCGATATCAAAACATGTTGACCAGGATCTGCTCACAAATGTAGTGATTTTGTATTTACAGGCAATCACAGCAGTCAAAGCGCAAACAGCAATGTCCCACAAACAGCCACGATGAATTTATGTGTAAGAATGTTCATAAGGACACGAGGACAAACTCACTTCTCTCTTTGTATAACCTCACGGGATCCTTAACATCAAACCTAAACAGGTTGGCAGAATTACAGCCTCAGCTTTAGGAGACAGATATGGACGAAACGAGGAAAGCGCAGAGCCATGGAGGTAGACCAGGGAGTCCTGTAGCTCAGTGGTTAGAGCACTCGCTTTGCAAGTGAGAGACCTGAATTCAATTCCAGGCAGAGGGTGAAACCTTGGGCAAGTTTCCTTACTCCACACAGAGCCTAATAATAATCCCTCCAAAACAAAACAATAATAAATTGGCCATTTAAAATCTACGACTGTTTGTGGGACATTGCTGTGCGCAATTGGCTGCCGCGTTCGCCCACAAATATACAGTCAATTTACTTTACAGTGTGTTCTGTGAAGCACTTTGGGACGTCCTCCCGACGTGAAAAGCGCTATATCAAATGCAAGGATTATTATTATTATTATTAAAAGATGGTGGAGGAGGGTTGAATGGCCGACAGTGTTGAAGGCTGTAGAGCGAGCAAGCACGACAAGGAGCCCGAGTCAGAGACTGAGAGGACATCATCGGTGACTTTGAAGCTGCTGATTTGAAGGCTAGACTGCTGCCAACTGTGTCAAGCTGACACCTGGTCAACTGCGAGCCCATCACACACGCACAGCCCTAACCAAGGTAAGCAGACATTTTCCTTAAAAGAAGGCCATTACAAGAAAGAAAGAAAGAAAGAAAGAAAGAGAGCGCGGGAGGAAAAAAAAGAGAAAAGAGCGAAAGGAAGGAAGGAAGAAAAGAACAAACCGAGTTGGAAACTCTGGTTGTAAGAGTTTTCCAGGTCCGGCATTGTGCTGCGGAATGATGGAACGGATGGAAATGGAAGCTCCATTCCTGAGAAATCCACTCCAGAGAGTGGGATGTTGGAGCGGCTGAGGATCCATTCCCGACAATCCAGGCAGTGGGTTGTCCTGGTCAGACTCTCTCCAAGAGAGAGCGAGAGCGAGAGAAGGAGTGAGATGAAAGTTTGAGAGTTCCTCCCAGTCAGCACTGCCTTTGTTCCCGGACTGGAGGCGCCGAGAGCGCTGTGACCCGCAGTAGTGTTTGGGGGGGAAAGCTGAGAGCAAGAGGGCGGGTTGGGATCTGTGGGGGAGACAAGGCTCGGGCTGGGGAGAGGAGGGACTCTGATTTGGTCTGCTGGGGCTGGTGTCTGGGGCTGTGTCTGGGGCTGTGTCTGGGCTGGTGTCTGGGGCGGTGTCTGGGCTCGTGTCTGGGGCTGGTGTCTGGGGCGGTGTCTGGGGCGGTGTCTGGGCTCGTGTCTGGGGCTGGTGTCTGGGCTGGTGTCTGGGGCTGGTGTCTGGGGCGGTGTCTGGGGCGGTGTCTGGGCTCGTGTCTGGGGCTGGTGTCTGGGCTCGTGTCTGGGGCTGGTGTCTGGGCTGGTGTCTGGGGCTGGTGTCTGGGCTGGTGTCGGCTGGTGTCTGGGCTTGTGTCTGGGCTGGTGTCTGGGCTGGTGTCTGGGCTGGTGTCTGGGGCTGTGTCTGGGCTGGTGTCTGGGCTGGTGTCTGGTGTCTGGGGCTGTGTCCGGGGCCACGGAATGGAACGGAGAAAAGTTCCCCACAGTTTCCTCTGCACCGTCCTCCCCGCTCTGATGTTACTGTCTTCTGCCCTTTGTGTAAGTACAAATCGTTAAAGTTTTTTTTGGTTCCATTTCTTAACTTTTTATATGTTACTCGGAACCAGAGACAGAGACAGAGACAGACAGAGAGACAGAGACACAGACAGACAGAGAGACAGAGACACAGAGACACAGAGAGAAACAGAGACACAGAGAGAGACAGAGACACAGAGAGAGACAGAGACACAGAGAGAGACAGAGACAAAGACACAGAGACACAGAGAGAGACAGAGAGACAGAGTAACAGAGAGAGACAGAGACAGATAGAGAGAGAGACACACAGAGACAGAGAGAGACAGATAGAGAGATAAGAGACACAGAGACAGAGACAGAGAGACAGAGAGGGGGAATGGGATAGTTTCCCAAACGTTTAGAAAACAAAGTTACTGCAGAAAAGTTTGTGTGTGTGTGTGTAAGTGTGTGCACAAGTGTGTGTATATAAGTGTATGAGTGTGTAAGTGTGTGTATAAGGGTGAGCGTGTGTGTGCGCGCGTGAGTGTGTACATGGTTTATAAGTGTGTACGAGTGTGTAAGTGTGAGTGTGTGTGTGGAAGTGTGAGCGTCTGGTGGTCCCGATCTCAAACATTCCCCCAAAAGGTGTTGGTTTGATTAGGGACGGTTTTGCGCTGTGTTTATTTGTTGTCAGTAAAGATTCTCGGCTTGACGAGCCTGGCACTGTTGCTATGCCCTTAGGTATGAAACTTCTATTCATAGTTTTCCCTAAAACAATCCCTTGAATAAACTCCTGTTGTCTCTGCGCCGTATCCTTTAGTTTCTGGGGTGGGAGTTGGGGGTTTATTTTAACTTAATGTTACTCTCAAAGACTCTCGTGGCATCAGTGGGGACCACAGGGAAGTTGGTTTTTAGAAATACATTTTGGGGGTTGAATGTAAATCCCTGTAAAGCTGAACTGTGTTCAATCTGAAACGCTGAACCTCATCTGGAAAATGTATTCGGTGGTTGCAATTTGGCGGTTTATGTATTAGCTGGACATTGGGACAGTCAGTCAGTCAAGCCAGTCACTACACTTGCCGTCACTTGTGTGAAAGCGCCGGGCTCTCAATTATAAATTGCTATTTTACAACCGTGTGGCCATTAATATGGACAGGAGTCAGAAACTTGGCTTTGAGGGTGAAAGGGCGTCACAGGGAAGGAAGGTGGATACCAGCGAGTTCCTCTTGGAAATGTGTGGAAACTTGTCATTGTATCGTGGGGAAGTCAGTCACAGTCACTGGGAACAGGAGGAGCCCCTTGAGCTCATGGAGGCTGTTGTCTCAGTTGATTAGATCTTAATGTAATGATAATAATAATTCTTGCATTTGACACAGCGCCTTATCACGTCGTCGAGACGTCTCAAAGCGCTCCACAAGTATACTGTAAAGTGAAATGACTGTATATTTTGTGGGTGAAACATGGCAATTGTGCTCAGCAGCGTCCCTCCCACAATCAGTCGTGATTTGAATGACCAAACTTTTTTCTGTAGGAAATATAACCACTGGCAAGCGCTCTGCCAATCGACTAATTGCTGTGCGCAATTGGCTGCCACATTTCTCCCCACAAAATATAGTCAATTCACTTTACAGTGTATTCTGTAGACGTCTCGAAGATGTGATGAGGCGCTGTATCAAATGCAAGGATTATTATTTATATTGTTATAACAACCGGGTTCCTACTTACTACCACGTAAACAGAGGTGTTTGGAGTAAGGGAACTTGGCCAAGGCTTCACCCCGTCCGGGAATCGAAACCGGGTCCACAACTATGGAGATATTGGCAGATCTTTTCCCAAGTCTCTGTCTGTCTTACGTTTAAACAGCCCTATTGATTCTTGTCTCTCCTTGGGCAGCCCATTCCACATCATCACATCCTCCTGTATGATGAAATGCTTCCTGACCTGAGTGCCTATGATGTGAAGTCTTTCTTCTGATTATAAGCCCCTGCCCCTTGTACATAGTCAACGGTTCAATACGTCGCCTATCCGTTCGTTTCAGTGACTTTGTAGAAATGTGTATATAAACTATCCCGATGATGATCCTGTATTAATCCAGTTATTGTGAACATTGTGAATGATGCAATTCTCACTAACTGTGTGAAATGGTTGAACAGAAGTGCACAGCATCAAATTCAAAGGCCATACAGATATTTCAAATATACAAATGGGAATCTGGAATAGTTTAATAGATCATTAATGCATCACAATTCTGGTGAAATTCCACACCACTGAAGTTGCCTAAGGCTACAGAATTTTGGTTAAAACTATCAAAATATTTTCTCAGTACAATATACGTACGTTTTTACAGGAAAAAAAGTTCTAACTGTCCAAGGCTCATTGCATTTTGTCTCTAATAATCCTTGCATTTGAAATGTGAATCTAGAATAATCTCCATCAGTGAGAAGACACGAGCAGTGAAGGTAGTGATGTTTTCTGCTGCTCAGGGACTGGCATTGATAGGGATGGAGATCAGAATTTGCAGTGATAGGGGGGAGAAAATATTTCATAATTAGATTTCAAAAGAACTGTAATTTATTTGTTTGTGAATGAGTCTCACTGCCCCCACTCTTTGGAACTCAATCCCACAGTCACTTTGCCTCGCTCCCTCCCTCGCCTCCTTCAAGGCACATCTCGAGACCCTCGTCTTCGACCGGGCCTTCGGCCTCCCTCCTACCCTTACACCCCTCCTGATCCCATCCCCCAGGGCCTTGGGACGTCCGCTCGACGTGAAAAGCAAAAGGTAAATGTCATTTGTTGTTGAGTCAATTCTTGTAGAGGTCAAAATTACGAAGGTTTGTTTGTGGGACATGCTGTGTGCAAATTAAGTGCCCTGTTCACCTACAAACACACAGTCTCTACACTTCACAGTAAAATCCCGTGAAGCACTTTGGCACAACAACATCTCGCGGTTATGTAGTGCCCTCCACGCAGGCCAGTGTCTCAGAGACGTTGCAACAATGTGATAAGGTATCCTACAATACAGGATTATTGTATACTTATGATGGGGTAGAGAGTGGGATATGGGAGGGGGGGGGAACTCAGTCATTTAAAATATTCACAAAAGGAACTAAAATGAAGGTTAGAAAAACATCTTCACACGTAGAAGGTGGTTGAAGTGTGAACTTCTCCGCTGCAAGCCGTTCGACCGAGCCTACGGTCACCTCTCCCCGGCTCAGCAAAGCGCTCTGGGACGCTAAACTTGTGTGAGGGACGCTTTGTAAAATGCAAGTTGTTGTTGTTGCAGTTGTCTGCAAGCTGTTGTTCAGATTCCACCTTAACAATACACACAGTAGCCCAACAAGATGTGGTCAGTTTCAGGGGTTATTAATGAGTCAGGGAGGTTTGACTCTCTCATTCCTATACCTTCTATGCTAAATACAGTGGGAATCTGACACGGTACCACGTACTGCAATGTAATGAGCACTTTTGAGAGTTATCGTAAGAGAGAACTTCACAGATGCAGTATTTTTAGAAAATCTAATTTTAATATACAAAGCTCCCCTTACACGAGGAATCACTCTGTGCCATAAAAAACACAACTCAACTCCGCGAATGTGTAAAGCAGTGATCTATTCACGTTAGGGTAACGTCTGACTTGTTCTATTCATGTCGGGTAACAAGCACTCCGGGACGCTACTCTGCGTGAAAGGAGCTGTGTGAATGCAAGTTGTTGTTGTTATTGATTTTCAAGTTTGCTTTCACTTAAGCGGGAAGTATTACTTGATTGCGGAAAGGTATTTCCTGGCTCAGTTGGTTGCGCACTGACCTGCGGATTTCGAGCTGATGCTTTGGGATATCATCCTGACAGGAACGGTGTTGAGTTATCAGAGGTGACATCCTTCGAATCAGACATTTAACTGAGATCCCATCAGGTGGATGTTACAAATTACATGGCACTATTCGAAAAGAAAAGAAAAAGGAGTGTCCTCGTGTTGGCCAACGGTCCTCGGGGTGAAATTGGTTCTTTGTGGAATATTGCTGGGTGCAAATTTGTTGCTGCTACTTTAATCTGTCATGAATAGTTATGCGTATTGACGCCTTTCCCTGTTGAATAAATGACAGTATAGGGTTAAATAAATAGTAATCCTTTTTGATGTAGCACCCTTTCATGCCTTGGGATCTCAAAGCACTTCAAAGGATTTACGGTAATGTTAGTGAGTGTGTTTTGGAGGCAAATGCGCAGCCGGTTTGTGCACAGCCAATTTGTGCACAGCGATGTCCCACAAGCAGTCATGAGGTGAATGATCCATTTTATCTGGGAATTTGACTCGGACACCACCAGAAACTCCCTTCTCTTTTCAAGTAGTGCTATAGGATCTTAGTGTCCCTGTGAACAGGTAGGTGGGACCTCAATTAAATGTCTCGTCCAAAGAACAGCACCTCCAACAATGGAACGTTCCCCCTGCATTGCACTGCAGTGCCATTCTGGACGTCGGACTCTTCTCATCTAGAAAACAACAACAATAAATTGCATTTATACAGCATATTTCATATCGGGAGAAAGTCCTAAGGTTGTGGGCAGTGAAGGGTTTGCTCCCGAGCTGGGGGTTGGAATCGAGGGGTGGAGGACAAGTGGGTCGGAGGATGATCGAAGGTGCGGTCAAAGAGGAGGGTCTTGGGACACGCCTTGAAAGAGGAAAAAGAGGGGCCGAGGGAAAGGGACCGTGAGCTGGCATTTCAGAGGTTGGGGGCAGAGAGGCTAAAGGTGACCGCTGGTGGTGGGGCGGCCAGGCTGGGGGACATGGAGCAGGTCAGTGGCCACCAAGCGGAAAAGCGGGTAGGTTGGTAAGGATTCAGTAGGTCGCAGTGGTAGGGAGGGGGAAGACCATGGAAGGCTTTAAAGGTGAGGACAAGGATTTTGAACTCGACCCTCTGGGGGATGGGGAGCCAGTGAAGCCGGGCGGGGAGGGTGGTGATGGAGTTTAGAGCGGGAGAGGACACGCGCTGCAGAGTTCTGAATAATCTACAGCTTGTGGAGGGAAGAGTTGGAAAGCCCAACGAGCGGG